TCACACACCATCTTGGTCTTCATAACAACTACATGGCCTAATTAAAGGTTCGTGTGTTTCAAGATAAACTCCTGGTTCCCAAATTATTAGTTCGTTATATGGACGATAAATTTGCTGTCTGCCAACATAGCAAATATACTATGGGAAAATTACTTAGGCCAATAGATAGAATAGATGCAAATACTAAGAAGTATAGAGGAAACGCATACACGCGGGTTTCCTTATTAATTTATTTTTCAGCCATGCATATAGAGTGAAAATAGGAGTTATGAAGTTTATAATAATAAGAAGTCTGCGTATAGCAGATGCAAACCATGGGGATGAGAAGGTTGGTAGAATAAAGGATATACTGTTTCAAAACAAGTACCCATTAGGATTAGTAGACAATTACATGTGAATTGTAGTTAACACGATTAGAGGAGTTTGCTATCAGGTGCGGGAGAGACTCAGTTCCTGATTGTGCCTCCTTGTCAGCATGGGAAAAAGTTGGTTCAACTACTGAGGAAATGGAGCAAGGTTTCGTGTTCATGTGGTAAGGCCTATGTGGGGGATACCTGCCGACCCATCGAGAAGAGACTATACAAACACAAAACCGCTTGTATGGGTGTATAGGTAAAAAATTTTAGCTAGCCGCATACCTGGTTACGGGGACTTCACAACAAAGCGTTTAATTAGAGAGTTTATACAAATTAACAAAACGTCCTGAATAGGAGGAACAAGTGTAGAAAACTAAGTAGCAACTATTTGTGGCTGTTGGATAGGCTTAAGAAAAGGGAGAGAGGGGGTGCAGGAAGAGCCATTGAGCAAGAGGAGGCTCAATTATTAAATATTAATTTAATGTTAATAAAGTAAAAAAAAATAATGAAGATACACGAGTTTTATCTATTTTTATCTCTTACAAATAGTCATACTTAGGGTAGGGCGCCATGGAAAATTATTAATTGAAAAAGGGCGCAGCGATGGAAAAGTTTGGGAACCACCTTACTAAGAGATTCTTTAAAGCTCAGCTTCTCTTCATACTGTACCTCTTGTTTGAAATGCGAGCAAAAGGAAGAGTTCAGAAAAAGTATGATATAACCAGCCAAATAATTAGAAGCCTAGGTAAGTTGACAAAATTAGGCCACGGTTTTTACTATTTAGCGGTGTCTGTCATATGACAGGCGAGACCTCAACATGGATTCATCAGAGTAACAAGATGTGCCATGAAGTTTTTAGCACAAATCCAGCCAAAACAACTAAGCACTCTTGCTTCAGTCTCTTGTGATGCCACTTTACTAATCCCTTTTGTCTACTTTTCGAACAAAAGATACAACACATCGAAACCCAGATCTGCATATCCAGGAACAAGTATATGAATCGAGGCTAGCCTCGATTCTAGCTAGAACTACCATACGTCCCATGACATGAACATTACATACACACAATGGGCAATAGAACAAGCCCAAACATGATTCAACATTAGAGGATAGTACATTAGTTTGTTTGTGTAAGGAAACAGCTGCCAGTGAACTACTTTCCGGTTCGAGAAGTAACTTCACCCATTTGCAAGCATGTAGAGTAAGGTTGAAGAAGCCAAACAAATAATGGGATGCCTCATAAAAAAAGCGGCTAGGGTTGCAGCCGGCCACCTTTTCGTTTGGTTTAGTATATTTTTGCCCTATTTCGTGAAGTATGGATACCCGCTCTGATGATGTCTGTCACAGTACAGATGAAAGCATCGGAGTCGCCGAACGATGAGCTGAGGATTTCTTCGCACAATTAAGAAGTCTTCCTTACGCGGCAATCTTCTTTCTGTTTCCGGTAAGACCACATCACCAATTCTTTCCAACCAACTTTTCCTCCGAAATAGAATGCCATATCACATTATATCTTTAAGCAATTCCTCGAAATCTAGTTTTTTTTCACATATTCCTCTTGCCGAAGGCAATGATGGATACATCAAGGAGAGTTTTTTGACTTTTTAGTGCAGAAATACGATTATTCTACCTAAATTAAATTAAATGCATAAGCCTCTGTATGTGTGTATGCATGTGCACATATGTATGCTAATATACCGGCTCCTTCGTCGTCATATCTATTCCTCTTCATAAACGCGGAGGAAAGAGCCCGCTTCAGTGAAATGGCCATGCTTGAAATTTTTGTTTATAAAAAAGACCTCAAGTATTCGTCATTGGGCCTATATGGACTAGCCTAAAATATAAAAAGAAAGTGCGGGTTTCGAAGAATCTCCTGAGATAAGATTGATGCCATTAAGAAGAGCTTCGTAGGTCAATCTCACTAGAAGACGTGGTATATATATCATATAGGAAAAATCCGTTCAGTCTTTTTGACTTAGTGTTGTTCTGAGGCATTTGCAAGAATGAGTCCCCGTTCTGGCGATGCTCCTCGTGTGGCATGACAAACCAAAGCTCAGCCCAAAGTGTTGCGGTGTGTCTTGTGGACTGCATCAACCTGATCGCCGTATTAACGCCAAACGGCTGCAGCACAATGTGAATCAACCGACGTCTTCTGGTGAGATTGCCATACAAATCTTTTCAGCATGTACTTCCATACGAAACGAAATTCTTGACATCAATAGCCTACAATAGTTGCCAGACCATATATATAGAGTAAATTAGTACATATACCTGTATATGGGGACTTTTAGTACAGTTCGTGTTGCTCTCGTAGCCACCACTTCTACTACTGATATAATACTTATATCGTCAATAAAACCAATATTCTAGATACTTTTTAAATGCATTTGGGATCCCAAACTATGACTTACCCCCAATTGCACCACGAAATATATCGTCTTTCATCTTGTCCGTTGACAGATGGATCGAACCGTATATGATCGACTTGTCGGTTGGATTGACCAGTTCTGCTCCGAGACGAGGAGGAAGAAGAGCACAAAGGCCGGACGAAGTTCGAGGAGACATAGTGATGCATCACGACGGTGAGTTGGGTGCAATTGTATCGTGCCAAAGTGTTTCAATAAAAAGGCATAAGAGTGGAGGATAAGTAAATTGTGCGAAATAGGCTAATGGTTTGGAGCTAAAAAGTGATGCCTAAGGATGGGAGTGAAGAGAATGAGGGCAA